TTGGTTGATAGGAAATGACAAGAACCGGTAGGGCTAAGAAGCTGGGGTAACATATCAAACAGATAGGGGATAGAAGCCTTAGAAAGCAAAAGGTATTGGAACAGCTACGGTTTCTGAATCAGAAGTGTAACCTCGGTCATTCGCTGTTGTGTGGAGCGTGACACAACCGCAGATGGCCGAGGAGTGGGACTGATAACAGCTGATAAGGACTGATAAGCTGCCACAAAAAGTAAGCGCCAGCCAGGGTCACATATGCCTTTGATGTGGGAGACGGGCAGTAGGAACGATTTTGTGTAATCGATCCACCGCACGCGGCTGTCGCGGGTCATTTGCCTCGTTAAAACAGTCCTAGCGTTATTCATAGCACTCAGTTGCTATGCGGTTATTACTTTTGACATGATTCTACTGTTAGTTCATTTGTTCCTGTTCCTGTATTTCTTACTTGGTGCCGCATACTGCCACATTCCTTCGCGCGCGGCGTCTCTCTCCTAGCGACGCGACAATTTCGTTCCTATTGCACCACACCTCTTTGGTGTGGGCAGTAGAACATTTACACCATAGTGATATAGGTGGCAGGATGGTGCATGGTTGGTGATAGGAACTGATAACAACTGATAGTGGCTGATAATGAGCGCTGAAATGCAAGAATCAGTGAACCACTTTCTTTTCGTACTAATATTGGAGCCCTGAAGCGTGACTGTGCGATTCGGGGTGCGGGTCCGTCAGTGGCAAAATGTGACAATATCAGTGATAAGGAATTTTCGAAGCCAGCACCATATAGGGAGGAAAAAAACTAAGTTTGTTCCCCGCCATTTCGATGATCCCCTAGACTAAGGTTGCGTTAAGTTCCGCGACTCGATATAAATGATAATAAGAAAGGTCATGAATACCTCCTTCTGGTAGTAGTGTTATCATCATCAGTCAACAACATTAGTAAGTACCATTCAAGGCTCTGGTCCATTAGTAATCTGAGATGTGGGTTTGTGGGGAAGGGGGAGCTAATTGGCAGATTACTCAAACGGGCCGTACTCCCCTCCACCTTTGAAGGGCCTTCATAATCATCAGTAGGGATTCCACCCACTAATCAAACTTCTTAACCATTACCTATCGAAGGATCAGGGCCAAGTCGGCAAATATCAGATTAGTATGCCTAATGGTCATGGGCACTTACGATAACAGATGGCGTACCCGCCGAGCCCAGCGACCTTTCCCACGCCGCGCCATTCCCGCCACATTCAAATGGAATCTGGCACTCCTCCACGCCATTTTCTGTTGCTGTTGTAACATGACAGGTCTTGTGCAATCTCATTCCATATAATTACTTTACTTGTCTCTACTCGTTACTTTATTCTTCCCAATCTGCACACTCTCCACATCCAATGATCCCTTATATCCTTGTTTACTCTGGCACCCTCTTCATACTAGTGGTGTCTCGTTAAGAGGTCGTAAGTTCGCGTGCCGCCAAACCAGACAAAGTGCGGGAAAGCGGGCATCGTTTGCAATTTGTGCGTCACCCTTGTCGAACCCGGTTGTGTTCGGTTATTTTTCACTATTTTGTATGTTTTCAAATCACAAACTGATTTAATTTTTTATGTTTACTGTTGTTATTTATTGGTAAAACTCTTGGGTAATGCTTCATTACAACTAAGTCTTTTTAGCGCTTTTCCGCTTTCTTTTTGAATTTCATGGCACTTTCACATATTTCCGTCGCCACGCCAATCCTTTCAATAGTGCGCACTTGCCCAGATCTTACCTACAGGCAATTGGTATCAGTATAAGTTCTCGTGGGTTTTGTAGATAACATATGTGGCGTAAGGTTTCGAAAATTTTTTTTGGTTTGATTTTGTCAAAGCAAAGACTACTGAAATACCTTAGCCGATTCTACGAGAGAACTTTAGAAACATCTTGAATCAGTTATTTCATGATAGTGATTGCAATATTTGTGGGTGCCATTCCGGTTGCAGCTGTTTTCCATTAGTGCATAGTAGTTCGCCCCATCTATCAATTGATTATTTTTGTGTGATCTGAACATATTTATATGCCGACTCATTTGCCCAAGTGAATTCGTATTCTATTTAGTTCGTTGGAAAGAAGCTGTGTTTGTGAGAAATGCCCCGTCGTAGACGCATGGTAAGAAATGATGGATCTACTGAGACGAACGCAGAGATGAGTTCTGGGTAAGCTATGTTCTCGCAATGTTTATGGGTGCTATCTCACACAGCTGCTACGGAGATCGTATCTTGGCAGTCGCGACTCGTATCTGGCAGTGATCCCAATTACAGCAAAAGAAACAGTAATGCGTTCGTGACTGGCTTCGGTCCACTATGAAGAGAGTACAAGCAAAATTTGGCAATTGAAATAAACATTTCATTCGTAAACAAAAGGATTAGGGAGACATCATTGCCAACACTACAGAGATGGTTGACTGGTCCCCAAAGTTACTTTTCTAGACCAGCTTCTTGGGACGCAATGACCTACAAACGGCCGAAGAAGTTAAAAGTACCTTGCGCGCGTGTGGAAAGCGACGGTGAATGGTTTCAAATTGAACGAGTTCTGGAAACAGTCTGTCTTGTGGGAAGTGATAAAGGATGGCAGTCACTGGTTTGTTATTTTCCATTTACGGTCAACTATTTGGGTTTCTGCAGCTGGATTCAGACATCTGATTTTCAGGTCCAGTGGAAACCGAATTGGTCAAAACAGATCCACACCCCATCTGCACTGAAAGATTTTTATGGTCGCGCCACCGTTTTAGGATGTGTGGTGAAGGCAAGTTTATCGCTTGACGATATGAAATGTGGTAGTATACTGCTCTTCTAAGCCTTTCACTTTCAGAATGACGTTTTACGATCTAGAGTTCGTCGAAGAATTGAGTGGAATCGGAAAGAGTTCATGAGCTGCAATTTCCGTATTCGCGTCGAACATCCAGATGGATCTGTCACATCTGAGGTTCGAATTAACTCCACCTTTTCAATTACAATGCAATTTCTTGCTCAGCCATTCAATTCAGCAATCTCTCAACTTTGAATGAAATCTTAAGTATGAAAGTGTCTCGACTTGTTTCCTAAATTGTTCTCAGGTTCAAATACTAACTTAACTCAACCTTTCTAGATTCTGCCATATCCTGATGTGAAGCGACGATTCCCTGCCGCGTTGTTTGAATACATGGAAAATAGAATGCCTCCGCCTCGTGTACCAGAGAAGGACGAACCGAGACCTGACGGCTTACTTCCAGTCTATAATAATGTACGATTATCGACAACTTCAGACTGATTTGTGTCTTTGACATTGATAAGGTTGAAAAGTTTGTTTTCAGATCAATATTCCGCGTTGCTTGTATTTGAACAATAGCGTGGTTAAGAAGGAGCCAAAAGTTGAAGCCCAAGCGACTCCGGATGCTCAGAATACTTTGACAAATGATGTTGGGAATGCAGCTGTTGTAATACAAGAAGCATCTCCTGGGGATCTCCCCAAAAAAGACTCTATTCATAGGAAAAGTACTGGAAGTGTACCACTGAAGGAAGTAAATGTCAGAGTGAGAGGAGGCAAGAAGCGAAGGTCTAGTCGTCGTTTTGGAAAAAGGAGCAGACTATCTCAAAATAGAGACATAAAATTCAACAATAGCGCTGACGAGTCTTCGGCGTTCAGCGAGCAGGAGCCACCATTCAACAAAATCCCAGCTACTCCTGAATCAGAACTGAACGACGCTCAGGTGAAAACAGTACCTCCTGGAATTTCTCCAGCTTGTGCTAAAGAGTTCCTTAGAAATGTTAGTAGAGCTCGTACTCCAGCATCTGCTTTATCTCAGAAAAATGTGAAATCATTGGGCTCTTCTTCTAAGCGTCATAGTGGGAAACACCGACGAGCGGCAAGTGCGGATGATGATATTGTCATGCTTCAAGGTACGTCCACTCTGTGTTCCTTCCTGACACCACAACACCATTCCTTTCAGAAATAACCCCGAACCGTAAAACCAGTAAGTCTCGCTCTTCATTCTCCAACAACAGGTCAGCGCGCTCTATTTCGACTCCCAGATCGCTGAGAACGCGTTCTAGCTGGAAGAGCAGCCCTGGCGCTAAAGAAAATTGTGAAAGTGAGTGTTTACATGTTTTTCTTTGTAGCATCATCTCAATACAATTATTTGAATATTCTCGAAGTAGTAATGGACTGACATTTTCTTTGCTTTATACATATTTCCCTACAGATGTGAATGCACTGAAGAAACTGCTAAATAGTGACGCGAAATCACTGCATAAATCGTCAAGTGTCAAACGTCCGCGGCGCTCAAGCAATGATGGAAAACCATTTAGGTATTTATCAGGGATTTAATGTTAAATAAATATGGAATATAATATATTGTATCTTGCCTTCGATTATTCGGTGAAACATTCCGTGCGAAGCAATATTTTAGTTGCAAACGTTCTACGCCACTGCGCCCTCGAAATTCACTGGACCACTACTTCAACTGTGTTGATCGTAGAACCCGTGAGGTTCTTGGCAATGCTGTCAATCAGCAGAATATAAGTGCTAGGTGAGATTTACTTCCGCAGAACGACGGTTCTTATATAAATTTCATTCCCATTTCCCCACCCATATTGCACCCAAGAGGCCACTTAAATGTCTATCTCGTTTTGTTTATATTGACACATTCCAGGTGCTAACAAAAAAGAAAGTCTCATCATGAATGCTTGAGATCTTTCAAAGCTATCGTCTCAAATCTATAAGGTAGGACGGCAGCTCACCAGTTATCGGTGTTTGTTTTTATTTTTCTTCTCCTTTAGGGATCTGATCTTATAGAAGAAATTGAAGACAAATAGAATTTCCCAGAGCTGCATTCATTTGTTCAAATGTCTCTGCATTTCGTTGTGCTTTTATTCATTGAATGTGCTTCTTAGATTGTTTTGATTTCACTGCTAAATATATGCGTATTCTTTTTCTAGCCTTAAATTTGAAGTTTGACACAGCAATATTCAACTACGACCAATCATGTGAGCCATTTCACTTGATCTTTTTTTCCTGGTGTTATAGCGTAATTTTAGCTATGTGAATTAAAGCTTTATAGTATGAATGTTCAAGGATTTCTCCACATTGGCTTTCTTTCTACTGGTTCATGTATACATATCGCTTTAGGTGAACCTTTATTCGCCACAAATTGCCATTCTCTTCGCTTAAGCATCTTGATTCATGTTCAAGTTATGGCATGTTCAATTGTCCCAATTCTGCCTCGTTAGATATTCGAACACTAACGTGATTGGCGGTATAGCTTAAGCTATGTGATTTGCAATGCTTCAGCTATGCGATTCGCATTTCCAAGCTTTTGCAGCTCTGTTTTCGGTAATACAATTTGTTCCATTACTTATGCTTAGCATTATTATGGATGTTCCGGTTTTCTGTTTTTTATTTGATGATTATGTCGAGGATGTTCATTTGAGTATCAGAATAAAGAAATCTCTGCATTTACTGTGATTGCCTTTGATGTCAAGTCATTTTATACATTTTGTTCTTCATGAACAATTTTCCCGTAACAAAGTGCGAAGAAAACTATGTGAGAATTTGGGCATCTTTACGAAATAGGGTTGCCATTACGCACCTCCAACAAGAAATGATTTTCCAAAGTCCAGAAATTTCTGCCTAGTACGGCCGTCATGACCTTTGAGCAGATGAGTCTTGGTTTCATTTCCAGTGTTAAGTAGGGTTTTACGAAACGCTGAACGTTTCCCACTTTTCATAACCCCTTTCAAAGCGACAGCGATTAGATTCCATTCTGTTATTCAAGTAAAAGATGCGTATTTCAGATTTTCAAAAGTTAGGAACTGAACGAGGTGAACTAGCCTTCTTAAACAAATTTCTGAACTTTCGTTAAACAAACTTCTCCCGAAAAATTGTAGCTAAAAGAGTTCTATGTCTTGTGACATCTTTCTCTATCAGAAAAGTTTGAAAATGGTGGCTTCGAACACAGCGCAAAGAAGTAAGGAAAATGCTAATGAAGGTACCAACAAATAAGTGACAATTGGCAACTAAACAAATTCTATTTGAAGTGGCTTCCTTGCGAGACGAACTTCTACCTAGTAGCATTTATACTTTCTTCGTTCCCTATCTCAATTACAATTTCAGGCGATGTCTTCGGCTATTCGCTTTATAGGTAACTATGATGTAAACGCGGAAGGGAAATTTCTGTGGGAAATTTTGGGTCAGTTACGACAGGTTAGTTCTTTAGGAATATTGAATCTTTTTTGAAAATCGTTTTCTTCTGATAGAAAATGATAGAAAAGTGAATGTGCTTGATTGATGCACAGAATAGCGTTCTGATGACAGTACTTTTCAAAGCGAGTGGAATGTGTGTGCCGACAAATACCGCTTTTACGCTTCGCACTTTATGCAACAACCTGCATGCAAAATCTACAGGGTGCGCCATAAATATGGTAACAACTTCTCGAACGTTCGTAATTTTCTTGTTTGGAGGGTTTCTCCAAATATGCACCTCCCCTTATATTTATGATATATCTTAGACTATATATTTATTTTGGTGCTCTCAATTTGTTAGATTTTGAAAAAAAGTTGGAGCTTCGTAGACATCCACCAGCCGTTCCGTCTTTGCGCGCATTCAATGAGTCTCTTTCCGGAATCGCTCCTCGTTTCAATATTTCCCACACTGACAGTCCTTCGAATTGCATGCGTAGGCAGCTCAGCGGCAAACCTCAAAACGGTCGTTCTGCCTCACAACAACCCTTTTTCCGAATAGAATTGCTTGGGAAGGAGTACGCTGCAAAACCTGCAGAAATGCAAGAAATATGACTGCTGATTTGTTTGTATGTTCTACTCCGATGAGAACAGTCTAGTGCGAGTGAATACAATTGTATCCAGATAA